GTGCAAAACGATTTCTCCAAGCGCATCATAGCAGACAAGGAGGCATGGCTCAGTCGCAAAAGGTATACTGTTGGTCCTCGCCTGGTGCTGCCTCCACCAAGTCTACTTGGCAGTGCAAAGAGTGCAGCACCATCAACTGGACGGCTCGTGCTACGTGCCGTACCTGTTTCCCGCCCATGTGTCCCGACACTGTCTCGAAGAAGACCTCGGACAAGGGCAAGGGCAAAGGCAAGGGCAAGGGCAAGGGCAAGGACAAGTCCACCAGGGCCAAGTCCAGGGACAAGTCCAAAGGCCCTTCCCGAGCTGGAAGTGCTGCCCCGCCTGTTCTTCCGTGGCGTGCTGCAGAACCTCCTCCAGCTCCTGGTTCTACTACGAAGCCGGCCACATCTACGACACCACAAGAGGAAGACTCTTGGGAAAGGCGGGCGAGGACGAATGGGACGAGGACGACGCGATCTCCGCCAAGGAGCTCCTCCACATTCGTCCAGCTCTACCCTCGGTGGCAGCTGTTCATCCGATGTTCCGGCCCCCATCACCTTCTTCTGCGACCGACGCCACCAAGGAGGCTTACAGACAGAAGGCCGCGGCCCGTCTCGAGGCCTTCGATACGTTGATCAAGGATCGACACACAGAAGGTCAACCCACCGAAGACGCAGCTCTGGAGTATGCGGTGACCTTGACGATGATGTGCCAGCCTCGTGGCATTGCGGGGCAGATCATCAAACAGGACGAGGCGATCGGCAGGGCCGAGAAGCGGTACCAGAAGGCAGCCGACGACCTCCACGAGACGGAGTACTTGATGGAGACCCTCACCGCGGACGTAAAAAAAGTACCAGCAGGACCTGGCGCACACGAGGTCGGCAAGGGCCGAGCTCCAGGTTCGAAAAGAAGAAGAATAAGAAACATACTAATAATAATACTAATAATAATAATAATCATAATAATAAGAATACTAACGCCAGCAAGCTACTCAAGCGCAGCGCGACAAGACGGATGAGGACGCCGACATGATGTCTCAGCCCCAACAGTCCCAGCCGAGCACCCTGGTCGCCATGGCGCTCCAGCAGGAACATATGACCATGCTCATGGAGCAGGTCAACAACCTCACCAACGCCATCGCGGGCCTGCAGGCGACGGGTGGCCTCCGCGGGAAAGGCGTCCGCCCAAAGGGACTTTCGAGTGGGCTCTGCTGGTGGACTGGCTGCCCCCGCGGCTGCCGAGGCGGAGGCTTCAGTGGCCTCCGACCTCGGCGGACCTGGCGAGAGCACGGCCGCCCCAGCGACGACGCCTGCCCCGTCGGCCCAGGCCCAGGCGACGATGCTCGCCCAGCAGGCGGTCCTGAGCGCGGGTGCACTCCCGCCAGCGGCCGCCATGGCCCCGAGGCCGAGGACCGAGAAGAACGACGACCGGCACGACAACGACATGGACACCGCCAGACGCCGAGAGGGCTCCAATAGCCCAGGACGCGGACGCAGTCGCGATCGCATGGCGGAGAGAGAGGCTGCACAGGATGCCCAGAAGTCCAAGACGACGTTCGGGGGCCCTGTTCAGTCTACGGCGCCCAACGCGGCGTAGCTCCCACTGAGGCCCCCTGCCCACGGGAGCAGCGGCCGCCCTCATCCTAACCTCCTGTCGCCTCAATCCCCCCTTTCCCCATGGTGCGAGTTTCAGAGAGGGCTTACCCAGCCCCCGAGGCGTTTCCCTTTTCTTCCAGTTGCAGAGGCCAGAAACATTATTTGTCAGCCCTGGCGGTTCCAGCTTAAATATTTCCTGCCCGAGATTCTCGAGCAGTATCTCCACCCAGCCACCAAGGAGTGGATTTCCAGTGCCCTTCCTTTCCCCCCCCCCCCACCTCCCCCCCGGTGCGCGTCTTTATCCACGCGGATGGAGCGGGAGGCAGTCAGGCTGCAAGCGTGCCAGCTGCCCCAGCGGCTGCGGCGTTTGTAGTCCATCGCTATCCTGGCGGGGCCTCGCTGCTATTGTGCCCGAGGACCTGAAAGCAGTGCTTCCAGTTCAACAGTCTTCTGATTCATCCGAACTGATGGCTGCAGCGTGGGCCCTGGCATATGTTGCCCAAGGGCCTTATCCCGACGTGCCAGTTGAGTTTGTGCTTGATTCCAAGCGGACCCTCGGCGTCACCTCAGGCCCCCAGCACTTCGATTGCAAAAACTCGGCGTTGATGTCTCTCCGTTCCGTGACCCAATGGCTCGGTGATTCCATGGACCTGTCGTTTCGCCACGTATCTTCTCACAGTGGAGAAGGTTTCAATGATCTTATTGGCACGGTTGCTTGTCCGTCTGGAATGGGTCTACTACAATGCCCACCCTACATGCCTTTTGCGAAGTGTCTATTGGATGCTACCCAGTGCTTGAATTTGGACGCACGAACAAGGCCTAGCAACTCAATGCCTGGAGGCTCCGCCCCCCGAATTTCCGAGGGCCGTTTCCTGGAGGTTCCCGATCTGTTCTCAGGAGGTTACGTTACGAAAAACATGTTTGGAGGATTTCGTCAGCCTCCTGAACCTCGAGGTCCGAAGGGCTCCTTGGAGGTCCCCCTAGTCTCATAATAGAAGTGGGCCTGGCAAGTGGACTTACCCTCAGGAAAACTACCGACAGGTGGACCAGGACCAGCAAGAAACGAATGTCGGCCAGGACGCAAGAGCTCATTGGACTCGACGCGCCAGGCAGACTCATTATGTTGACCAAACAGTTCTCGACAAGCTGGTTATCACACTGTCGCGACCGTCGAGGCCCGTCTCCGTTCCCGCATGCCTTGCCGCGTTGGTGATGTCGCTGTCTATTGCGCTGATTGCACTGAAGATGGCAAGGGCGGCGTCGCTATTTGGGTTAACGTGGGCCACCCTCTGGGGGAGGGTGGGCCGCCACTCTCCAAACAGAACAGCGGTTATCACGCACTCGGCGCCAACGCGCCTTCTCGTGCGGGCGCAGCTTCCAGACGCCAGATGCCCGCATTTGCCGGCCACGGGCCCCGCGAGGCAGTCAAGGGGCCCAACGCCCTGGAGAATTGGTGGGCCCAATCCCAGGCTACCCCACAGCCCCTCGTCGACGGTGGGCACGTTGTGGTTTCATGCGTCGACGCCGCTGCTGAAGTTGGCTCGAATGCCAGTCCTCATGTTGAGGGAGTTCAGGCTGATAACGAGGACCTCCCGGGCGAATGCCTACATCGTTTTTGTTGCGAGCTCGATTTCTGCATCCCCGCCGCCTCCCTTAGCCCCCCCCTGGGGGGCTCGGGGGAACCCTGGGCCAGTTTTGACGGCAAGGTTTCCAAACGCATCGACTTTACAGTGGTTCCTAGGGGGCTCTTGAGGGGGGCCTCTGAGGCGAAGGTTGACCGCGGAGTTGACCTCGCGAGCGCCATGCGCGACCGCGCGCGTGCGTCGCTCAAGTTCGTTCTTCCCACTGACAAGAACAGCTCCCCCTTTCGCTTGGGGTGAACAGGTCATTGACCCCAGGCGCCTTCAGGACCCCACCGTTCGCGAGACCTTCCAGGAATGTTCAAGGATTCTCCCGGGCATGCCGCGGCGCGTGTCACCCGCGCTCCAGCGCGCCGCCCTCGACAGGCAGCTCGCGCAGTTTACGGTCAGCCACCTCCAGCCAGACAAAAAAAAGATAGGGAGGAGTGGCTTCGCCAAGGCACTCTGGGCCAGCTGGATCTCCGAAGGGCCCTCCGAGGTCGCATCGGGTCTCTGAAGCGTCGGGCCCAGCGGGCCCTCCGCGCTTTGTTTTTTTTTTCCGCTTGGGCCGATGTTAGGCCCCCGTTTCCTGTCGCCCTCCTGCCCCAGGGGTGCTCGGACGAAGGAGGTACCTAATCTGTCGGGCAAAGAGAACCAACCCCCTGCGGTCTCCAGGACGAGGCCCCAGACTCCCCCCCTGAGGCTCACCAGGGCATCTGGGGCCGCCTGCGGATCCGTTCCCATGCGGGCTGCGCCTCCCTGGCCAAGAAGCTCCACGGTCTGGTTTGGGATGTCCAGGGCTTGGCTGAGGACATTGACTTTGTTGCTTGTGCTTTCAGGACCATCCTGGGAGCGCAGGTCGACTTGAGGTTCCAGGAGCTTGCGCTCGACAACCTGATTGTCTCCAGCATGCACCTACTTCTTCTGCAGGGTGGCGTGCTGGGACAAGGGACCTCCCAACCTGAGCCTCTCGGGTTGCTTGGTCTGTCTGGCTCGACTGGATCGCGTGATCCAATTTGTGTCCCCAACTATGGTGCAGTGCACGGCCAGGCTCATCGCGTGGGAACGTGCCAAGGACAAGGCTATTCACATCTCGCATGTGACTGCTACGGCTACGTGTGCATTTTCAGCTAAGCAGTCCAAAGACGTTGTTTTTCCCAACCCTCCTGTGTTGGGTACTTGTTTTGAAGAGAGCACTGCGGTCTCCACCTTCCTTCCTTCATTCCTTCCTTCCTTCCCGCCTCCCGCCCCCACCTTCCTTCCTTCCTTCCTTCCTTCCTTCCTTCCTTCCTTCCTTCCTTCCCGCCTCCCGCCCCCTCCCGCCTCCTCCTCTCTTCTCTGGGGGGCTGCGATCTGCGAAACTGTCGCCACTTTCGAGGGCTGCTGGGGTGGCCAGCGGAGTGACGCCCTACGGGGATTCAGATTAGACCTCGCCATCCCTGGGGGGCTGCGATCTGTGAAACTGTCGCCACGTTCGATGCCTGCCGGGGGGCCCAGCGGAGTGACGCCCTACGGGGATTCAGATTAGACCTCGCCATCCCTGGGGGGCTGCGATCTGCGAAACTGTCGCCACTTTCGAAAGCTGCTGGGGTGGCCAGCGGAGCGACGCCCTACGGGGATTCAGATTAAACCTCGCCGTCCCTGGGGGGCTGCGATCTGTGAAACTGTCGCCAGTTTCGAGGCTGCTGGGGGGCCCAGCGGAGTGACGCCCTACGGGGATTCAGATTAGACCTCGCCATCCCTGGGGGGCTGCGATCTGTGAAACTGTCGCCACTTTCGAGGCCTGCTGGGGGGCCCAGCGGAGTGA